AATTGGATCTGTACCCCGGACCTCCCGTTCCCCTGGCACCCATGCTCTTAACACTCACTTTTGCTTTTGTAACTTTACCTGCTTTGCACATCTGGCTTCCACCAAGGAAGACTCTGCAAAGAAAGGCACTCGCAGTCACAAACAACCTCTGCTTCTCACTTGCCTTGACAGTTCCTTGCTGGGGTTGCCATAAGTCAGTTGCAACTTGAGTGTCCTTATGTAATAGCCCCCCTGCTTAGATTCTTCTTTGACTCAGCTGAGTGACCCTTCTGTGCCCAGAGGGCTAAGTTCTTTGGTGGAATTGGCGTTTGTATCATCAGAAAGATCATAACATGTGTAAAACTCAGTAGTGTTTGCAGCTGAACCAGGACAGCGGGGGGGCAGGTGCCGGTTTGGCGCCCCTAAGGGCCAGCACGCTCTAAGCGAGCGCCTAGTTTGCCTAGTGAGCGAGCCGGCCCTAGGCCCAACTATTAGGCATGTCTAGGCAATCACCTGGGGTGCCAAAGATGGAAGGGCCAGCTGCTAGAATTAGAGGGTCGCAGGTAGCCCCAGGGGCCCCAGTTGCAGGGAAGAGAGGGAGCTAGCATTCCTCATGCACTGGCTAGGCTAACTGTCCTGTCCACTGAGGTCCCCCTTGTCGGCTGGGGCCAGCTCACTTGGCCTACCTACCGTCACCACTGGAATTGGCACTGGCAGGCCCCAACATCCAGCACTTGTCTGTGGGCCCAGGCCAGCCCTCCTGTGGTGTTGGCACTGGCTGCAGGAAACGGCAGACCTGGGCAGTGCCACTAGGCACCACAGAGGAAAAGCAAAAGGCCAGCCTGGTAAGTCTAGGCAGCTCTAGCATCTAAGGCTTCCAGCCTCCAGGTGGGGCCTGGAGTTAAGAAGACCAGGTCTCTGTTTCCATTGCCCACCAGCCCACTGAGGGCCAGAGGGAAGGAAAAAGGTTTTTGAAATGGTGTTGCACCAGTGGTATGGCATCACTTCCAGTGAATACCTGGAAGCAGGGGTCATTTCATAGAAAAAGCGGTGCAGGAGCTCATTAGCATAACTTATTTGCACATGCCACACCCCCTGACATCACCGGAAGTGTGTCAGAAGAAGGCAACACCCACCGCTCAGGCTCCACTGGACTGTTTTGAGGAAGGAAGGAAGGCTTCTTGCTCCTCATGGCCTGGGGCTGCTGGGAGCAGGGGGTGGGGCTTGTTGCATGTGCCCGCCCCCTGGGCTCTTTACCGCCGGAGCTCCGCTCCTGTGCACTCCTGCCGGAAATGACCCCTGCCTGGAAGTGACTAGCACAGCATCAACGTGGCACTCTAGGGTTTGGACAAAACTCTATAGAGTCTTGTTCAAATCCTAGAACATATTATTGATGTGACTCTGACGGTGTGATATGGCTTCCACGAAGAAGTGGCATTACGCCATTGGCATGGCATCCTTCTCCCTCCACCCCTGGAGTTCTCCTGGAACTACAACCGATCTCCAGACGACATAGGTCAGTCCCCCTGGAGAAAATGGCAGCTTGGGATGGCAGGCGTCATGGCATCATGTCCCTGCAGAGCTCCTTCCCCAAACTCTACCCTCCACGGCGCCACTCCCAAATCTCCTGGAATTCTCCAACCCGGAGCTGGCAACCCTACTAGCCTCCCTTGGCTCCGCCTCCTTTTGCCCTCTGCCCTCCCAGGGAATGACAGGGCTTCCTAGTGAGGGCTGAGAAGGTCCTCGAGGCCACCCCCACTTACCAGACTGTCCTGTTGCTTTTCTTCACGGGGGTCCGGTGGCCCCACTCGAGGCTGCCAAAAAGATCATACCAAACCTTTACCAAACAGCAAAATTGGGGGGTGGGGGGAGACACGAAAAGCAAACAATTAGCGAACAGTCTTCGGTGGATGCTGCAAATAAACTTGCTCTGATTTGGACACCAAACTGAAATGAAAACTCCTTATGGAACTAGCCAACGTCAGGAAGCCCAAACACTAAGTTTTGAAATGTCTTTAGACTATTAATATAGGCACACATATCTTATAACAAGAAAGTAAATGTTATGGTCCATGTTCCGTATTAAAATAAATTTATTTGTAATGTATTTCTAAGAGCTGAGTGGCCAAGAGAAGCCAATGTTCCAAGTTACATTCCAAAGTTCCGCAATGGATGGGAGCCACCCCTAGAAATTTTCCGTGGAGCCCCTTGGGAGGTAGACTTTGGCCACTTGCAGGAAGAGGTAAGTTCCAGACCTCATATTTTTCTATGTTCATTCAAACTGTGAGTCAAGTAGTCTGCAAGCATCCATGTAGATTAGTAATTAGAAAAGATTTGGAGATGTCTGGTTCATATTTGGGATTTCTGCTGTTTTCAGATGAATTGATGATCAAACATACATCAAGAGATAATGCTGATAGAGTAATTCTCCCCAGTCTAGCTAGGGCCAGAGGTCATTTCGGGGGGGATCGCGGGGGATCGCAGTTCCCCCGGGTGAGGTATGGGTGGCGGGGCACATGACGAAGCCCCGCCGCCTGCTTCCGGCCGCCCCGCTTCCGGCCCTCATTCAGCCAGGAGGAGGCAGGAGAAGAGGGAGGGTAAGTTGCTTCCTCCCTGTCTCTCCCCACCCCTGCCTGCCTGGGGCCAGGGAGGGCCTTCGCGGGGCTTCCTGCACTCCCGCCGGCCTTGCAGGTCCACGGCTGGGCCCCTCATGGGGCTCGGCAGTGGAGCTGCAAGGCCGGCGGCGGCCGGGACCGTTGGGGGCGGGGTATATGGCCTTATGACACACTTCCGGTGATGTCAGAGGGTGTGGCCTTATGACACACTTCTGGTGATGTCAGGGGGTGTGGCATATGCTAATGAGTTATGCTAATGAGTTCCCCTAGCTCTTTTTCTACGAAACGACCCCTGGCTAGGGCCATATGTGTGCAGAAGCAAGTTGCCATATCTCTTACTGCAGAAGGCAGTCATATCGAAATGGGTACTATGTGTGCAATATTGCTGATCAGCTGTTTGGGATTGCAAGGAAGAGTGGAGAGACAGTTTCAGTCCCCTGTGTACATACAGTTTCTCCTTTCAAGCAAGAAAATGATTCTGTTGCCAGTAACCCGACTACTGCTACATGTTCACAGCCCTGGATTCTGAATGAAGAATCAGCATATGGCCAGATAACATGAAGATCCCACCACTGTGCACCCACATAGCTCAGTCAGGGACACTATGTCAGACTCTGCTATTTCTTTTCACAGATATACAGGGCCAGTGAAGGGCTCAGATGGTGCCCTAGTGCCACCTTGACATGTGTGTCTGCGTGTGCACCGCGGAGTTGCAACTGAGTATGGAGTCCCGCAGGGTTCCATCTTGTCCCCCATGCTCTCTAACAGATATGAAGCAGCTAGCTGAGCTCATCTGGACCTTTGGGATGGCTTGTCATTGGTCTGTGAATGACACTCAGCTCTGACTCATGCTTCCAGCTGGAACTACAACACACATATTTATCTCTATAAAACTGAAACATGTAAAGCAAAAAGGTTCTCAGATTCTGATAATTTCTTCCTTAAAGAGAGACAGGCAGTTGTAGGCTTCCGCAACCAACCCACCCATCTTTTTTAGAGGTCAGATTATCTTCTGCTGTTCATTATTTTTTTAAAAAACAAACAAACAGAGCAAAACAGAAGAATGTGTTTTGCACCATGGGCATTAACTGGAAACACCTTATATTTTTATCCAGGCTTTTTGTTTGTCTGGAGAAATATCAGCTTCTAGGTTCCTAAAAGTCATCTCCTTCCTGACCTGCTTTCTCCTTATCCAAAAGCAAGAGTGTTGTTGCTCGATTAAAAAAGTAGTCAGAGAGTGATTCAGCAAAGGTTCAACTTTATTCAACAGCTCGAACACAACTCCAACATGGATCAACATGAATAGCCAGAATAGCTTTTACATAAACTCTCCTGGCTAATGTAGCCACGCCTACTGTACAAATACCAACCAATTAGGTTATCTACATAAGGACCAATCATGGACGTTCCTGCTGGTACTTGATTGGCTAGTTCTTCCTGGGCTACCAATAGGATTGGAGGGATTTGGATCCTAGCCCAGGACAACACTTCACATGGTGTTTCAATAGGGTGATTCACATACAGTTTGCCTTGCATTGAATACACCACAAATTCCTCCCCCCTAAGTAAAAACAAAAGGAGCTGCGGTGGCTCAAGTGGTTAAGACGCTGAACTGCAGGCTGTGGAAGGTTGGTAGTTCAGCAGTTCAAGACCCGGGTGCCGCATGACAGAGTGAGCTCCCATCTCTAGTTCCAGCTCCTGCCAACCTAGCAGTTCGAAAGCAAGACATTGCAAGTAGATAAATAGGTACCACTTCAGTGGGAAGGTAACAGCGTTCTGTGCGCCTTGGTGTTTAGTCATGCCAGCTACATGACCACAGAAACGTCTTCGGACAGCGCTGGCTCTTCGGCTTGGAAACGGAGATGAGCACCGCAACCCTAGAGTCGGATTCGACTGGCTTTCAAGCAAGGGAACCTTTACCTTTACCTTTAAGTAAAAACATTCATTCATTTACACTCATATTCATTCATTTACACTCATATTCACTCAGGTACGTTGGTGCTCTGCGCACCCGCTGAGACCTGTCTAATGCTGTCTTAATTGCACTTGGGGAGTCTCCAAGAAGCCAGTTTGGTGTAGTGGTTAAGTGCGTGGACTCTGATCTGGGAGAACAGGGTTTGATTCCCCACTCCTCCACTTGCAGCTGCTGGATGACCTTGGGCAAGCCATGTTTCTGTCAGAGCTGTTCTCTCAAGGACAGCTCTGGAAAGCGCTCTCTCAGCCCCACCTACCTCACAGGGTGTCCGTTGTGGGGAGGGGAAGGGAAAGGAGTTTGTAAACTGCTCTGAGACTCTGAGTGAAGGGCAGGGTATAAATCCAATCTCTTCTCTTCTTCTTCTTCTTCAAGACGGAGGCAAGTGTTACAGTTCCAACATAACATGGCCCTATATGATAAACTTATTCTGGGAGACTGTCCTAGTAATAATGCTCTTTCTCTCTTTTATCTTCCAAGCTGTCATCATCCAATGAGTATTCCAGTCGTAACCTAAAGCCTGTTCAGACAGCTGACCAGATGCAAGCTGTGGATGCCTTTACTCAACATGTTACTCAGCATGTAAATAGGTAATTTCTCGTACATAAAACAGCCATTGTAGAGGCTCGTCACGCCAAGGGCAAGAGCTCTGCGCATGGCCCAGGGTCCCTGACTGTGGCCAGGGAAGCAATGGACCCATCAGACCCAAGCAGCAAAACAAGCAAGATTAGCTCAGATAACTGAGGATATATTGAGAGCCACTTTGGAGCAGTGGTTGGCACGTTGGACGAGGACTGGAGATAACCAGGTTCAGATCCCTGCTTGCCATGCAACTCTCCAAGTATCCATGAGCCCATCGTTCTCTGCCTACCTCGTTTACCCCACATAGTTGTTGTGAGGATAAAATCGAGGAAGGGAGAACCAGGTTGTGTGTTCTTAGACATAGCAGTGGCTATAAACAGGGGTCATTTCCTGCAGGAGCGCACAGGAGCGGAGCTCCCGCAATAAAGAGCCCAGGGGGCGGGCACATGCAACAAGCCCCGCCCCCTGCTCCCAGCAGCCCTCAGTCAGAGCAAGAAGCAGCCAGGTAAGCTGCAGAGCCCCCCCCCC